TGTATGGACCCGAGGAGCCCAGAGGTGGGAGCGATGCCGAGGGCTAGATGTTGATCTTGGGGCGAATGAGCCTCACAAGAGACGTGGGCTTCTGAGGGACTTGGGGCCCGCTAGGGTACAGAGGGAGAAGAGACTAGTTGAGAGGGGCAGGCTTGAGGGCTGGGTGTTCCTTGGCTCTGGCACAGGGGGACTTGGGGCTGATGGCAAGGCCCAGAGCTGCCTCTGCCCATGGCCTGGGGGTTGGCACCTTGCTCCCCCTGACTGGCACAAGGCTGGGGGCACAGCTCTGCCTCCTAGGACTGGGACCCTGGCACTGTCCTCGCAGGCCACCAGGCCTCTCAGCTGAGGGAAGAGGAAGCAGAGCTAGACTGGGGAGCCCCCCTCCCCCCCAAGTAGGGACAGTCCCACCAACCGAACAGCTTAGGGTGCCAGGGCCCCAGTGCCTCCCCCACACAGATGATCTCCAATGTCCTGGCCATGGCTCTGCCTCCTCCTGCCCTAAGCTGGGCAAGGGGTCAAGGACTGAGCTCCAAGCTGCTTCCTGACGCCAGCGGAGGGGCAAGGTCCATCGCTCCCCCTCCCTCCCTCCTCCCGGGACCGAAGAGGGGCAGCCAGGGCATGTGGCCATGAAATGCTGCATGTGAACAGCCAACATGACAAGGGTGAGGGCCAAAGGGGGCATGGGGTGCAGGGGGCTACTGCAGGGGCAGTGCTAGGGCAGAGAACACGCTGAGGGTAGCAGTAGGCCAGTGGGTACCACTGGGGCCATGACTCTCCCTGCTCCCCTCCCTTGGGCCATCACTCACCGGACTAGAATACCGGGGGGCTGCAGGTCGGGATTGAGGGGCACCAGCGGCGCTGCATGTGGGGAGCCCAGATGCACCTCCCAGCACTTCCCAGGGTGCCCAGACAAAGAGGCAGGGACGTGTGCCCAGCCAAGCACAGAGGCCCGGGTGCTTTCCTGCGTGGCAGCCCCCAGCTGGCACCTGGCCCCACACTGCGGGAACCAGCCCTAGCCTGGCCCAGTCCTGGCACCTGCCACAGGATCGTGCTGCCCACAGAGCAGGCCCGAGCCAGGGCTGCACCCTGCCCCAGGGCACCTACCTTCTCCCACACTGCACACACCCGCCTGCCATCCAAGCACTGCCCCAGGAACTGGGAGTCCTGGCTTTGGATGGGGAAAAGGGCTCCAGTGATTAGCTGGGAAGCAGGACTCCTAGGTTCTTTTCCTGGCTCCGCCCTAGGCAAGTCAGTTTGCCACTCCTTGCCTCAGTTTCCCCAGCAGCGAGGTCACATCCCCACTCCCTACCTCAGGTTCCCCAGCAGTGAGAATGATCCTGAGCAAATTACAGTCTATGGGGCACAGTTGGGGTTGGTGTCAGAGGGGCAGGGAGGAGCCCTGCTGTGTCCTGAGACTGCTCCCTGCTGCCAGGTGTCAGCACTAACTCGGGGGCAGAACAGCCCCTACAGCCCCACCCAGCTGACTGCAGCACCCTCTGTTCAGGTCTCCCAGCCGCACACTGGCCAGGCCCAAGCTGGCTTGGCATGAGGGCACAGGCCTGGGAACAACCCAGCCCTGCCCTGCCCGGAAAGTTAGTTTCCCACAGCTCATCCTTTGCCCTCTGCCCCACTTCGGGCAACCATGGGAACAGCGCAGTAAATAGCTCAGCCAGGGTGGATGATTCTGCCTCACTCCGGTTTGACTCACGTGCTCGGAGCTGGCATGAGCCCCGCACGAGGTCAGGGCATGCGCCTGCCACCTGGGATGCAGCTACAGAGCCCCGGCCTCATGCCAGGGATGGGAGTGGGGACAGGGCTGTGAATTGGCACCATTGCGGTTTGTGGTGCCCGCTCAGCGGTGGGACGCCCCTGCTGGGACCATCACACGAGAGCTGGCATGTGAACACCTTCCCCCCACCGCCCAAGGCTGAGCATAGTACAGCCTGCCTCCCTGTGGCTGGGGTCTAACTGCCAGCTCCACCCCAGAGAACCCAGGGAACCCTGGGTATTTCCTTCTCCCTTGCTGAGCTGCTGACCCCTTAAGGATGGGCAGGTGGATGGCGCGGTACAGCCCCGAGAGCCTCCTGCAGAACACCCCTCTGGGCCAGAGCCCCGTGTGTCTGCACCCCTTGGTGCGGGCTCCAGGAAACGCTGCAGCAGCATCTGTGGAGAGGCCTATTGCCAGCCTGCCAGAGCTGGGGCAGTGGGCAATCCATGTGCCCATTGCCCATGCACGCTGGCAGCTACGTCTCTTCAGTGCTGATGTCCTGCCCAGTGCCTCATTCCCTGGGTCCAGCGGCACTCCACACCAAGATCTCCATGGCACTGCCCCAGCCCTGCCCCTTTTCAGCCCACTGAGATCTGAGCAGGGCCCATTCCTCCCCCCGCTGGGCGTTGATCAGCAGCGGGTTCCCCTCCTGCTGCCTTACTCACCTCCCTGAGCCCTATGGCACCCTTTGGGTAGGACAGACCTTGCCCACACCCTCTGCCCCCACTATGCTTCTGACAGACCCCTCATTCCTGGTGGTTTCCCTCCCTTACCCCTCCCCACAGTACAGCACAGCAGGCTGGCCCCCAGTGCCCCAGCCAGGGACTCCAGTGCTTCGGGCAAGGCTCTATCACCAGAAGGGGTTCCCACCCCCACCCCTTTTACAGAGCAGGCACCAATGCAGGGTGTGGCGAAGTGGAGATTTTCCCTTATGTTGTATGTGAGTCTTACTGTTTTGCATGAATGCTGCATGTGCCTCAGTTTCCCATTGTATTGCACCAATGTTTAGGTGGTGGGCATAGTCACTGACTTCTAATGGTGCCAGTGGGTGATTGACGCCCCCACCACCTCTGCCCCGCCCCCATTCCAACCCCTTCCCCAAATCCCCGCTCTGGCCCTGCCTCCTCCCCCGAGCTTGCTACAGCTGTTTGGCGGTGGCAAGGGCTGGGAGGAGCAGGGTGGGGCACTCAGAGAAGGAGGTGGAGGAGGTGAGGTGGGGCAAGGAGCTTGGCTGCACCCACCAATTTTTCCCCATGGGTGCTCCAGCCCCAGAGCACCCATGGAGTCGGCGCCTATGGTGGTGGAATAAGCGTGTGACTTTTGCAGAGGCTGCTCCAACTGCCTGCATGGATGCTATGGCCACCGCTTCATCACCTGAGACCCAGGATGGGGATGCGAGCAGGAGACTCTTGGCCTGGGAAGCAAGACAAAGGCCAGAGGAGGAGTCCCTGCTGGCTTGAGGCACAGGAGGAGGGCCAGAGCCCTGGCTCTGGTCTCCCTTCCCCCCGCCCAAGATGGACTTGGGTGAAAATCACAGATTTCTGTGCTAACAAGTTCTGTTCTATGTTGTGCATGTGCAAGGCCCTCTGGCTTCCCCAGGACCCCGCCTGGATGAACTCACTGCGGGAAGCGTCGGGTGTGGAAGGGGATGCTGAATCCTCCGAGGTCAGACCCAGGAAGGTGGAAGCTGTGTAAACTTCTTGACCTGGAGACAGTCTGCTCAGAGAGAGGAGGCTCCCCAAGAGTCCTGACTGGCTTTGTAGGCAGTAGTTCCAGAGCATCACCCCAGTGATTCAGTGACACAGTGCCCAATCCCGCCACGCTGGCTTTCCCAGGTTTATGTCTGCGTGTGGGTCCCACAGGGATGGGGGGAGGTCTTTGTGGGGGAAGGCCTTTGTGGGGGAAGGCAGCAGGAGGGAGGCCTCATGGACTTGGCCATGTCCCACACAGGGTGGGGATGCGAAGCTGCTGGCTCCCAGGCATGGGTGGCGAATGAACCGCCGGCTGGGGGAGGCTAGCCTCCAACCCAGTCCCTTCCGCCTGAGGCTCCACACCTTCTGCTACCTGCTGGAGCCCAGAGGGCCCCCCCCACACCATGGCCACCAGCCCAGTTCCGTAGCTAGCCCTGCAGCCCCAAAGGAGTGCCAGGAGGGAGGGCGGTACGCGGCCCCAGCCCTGGAGTGCTGGGAAGGCAGTAGGCCCCAGCCTCCCAGCTGGAGCACTGGGGGCTGGAGCTGGAGGACTGGAGCCACATGCAGGGAGCAGTCACAGCATGGGGCGGGGCCACAGAATCATAGAATATCAGGGTTGGAAGGGACCTCAGGAGGTCATCTAGTCCAACCCCCTGCTCAATGCAGGACCAATCCCCAACTAAAGCATCCCAGCCAGGGCTTTGTCAAGCCTGACCTTAAAAACCTCTAAGGAAGGAGATTCCACCACCTCCCTAGGTAACCCATTTCAGTGCTTCACCACCCTCCTAGTGAAATAGTGTTTCCTAATATCCAACCTAGACCTCACCCACTGCAACTTGAGACCATTACTCCTCGTTCTGTCATCTGCTACCACTGAGAACAGTCTAGATCCATCCTCTTTGGAACCCCCTTTCAGGTAGTTGAAAGCAGCTATCAAATCCCCCCTCATTCTTCTCTTCTGCAGATTAACAATCCCAGTTCCCTCAGCCTCTCCTCATAAGTCATGTGTTCCAGTCCCCTAATCATTTTTGTTGCCCTCCGCTGGACTCTTTCCAATTTTTCCACATCCTTCTTGTAGTGTGGGGCCCAAAACTGGACACAGTACTCCAGATGAGGCCTCACCAATGTCGAATAGAGGGGAACGATCACGTCCCTCAATCTGCTGCCAATGCCCCTACTTATACAGCCCAAAATGCCATTGGCTTTCTTGGCAACAAGGGCACACTGTTGACTCATATCCAGCTTCTCGTCCACCGTAACCCCCAGTCCTTTTCTGCAGAACTGCTGCCTAGCCACTCGGTCCCTAGTCTGTAGTGGTGCATGGGATTCTTCCGTCCTAAGTGCAGGACTCTGCACTTGTCCTGTTGAACCTCAGCAGATTTCTTTTGGCCCAATCCTCTAATTTGTCAAGGCCATGTCTGCCTGTTTGGGGAGGCACAGCCTCCCTAAACCTAGGCGACCTGCTACCCATGCTCCCAGGCCCACACTCTGACCGCCCCGGGACCAAGCTGGGAGGAATTGGGCTACGGTGACTCCAGAGATGGACACAGGGGCCAGAGTGCTTTTATTCCCCATTGCTGGGCCGGGCCACTGCTACGTCCAGAGCCTCAGTAACACCCACACCAGAGCACCCCACGGCCACCACCCATGGGTCCACAGCCTCCTCGGGCCCATGTGGAGCGTGGGTGCCCTGCCCCACAACGGGCCAGTGAGAGACAGGACAGCAGGTGACCTGAGTCAGGCACAGGCTAGCCCAGGGGAGAGGTGGGATGCCCGGCTGCCAGGGGGCAGGCCTCGCCCAGGGGTCCAGCGGTGCTATAGGTACTTGTAGATGACCCTCTCGGGCAGGGTCTGCACTTCCAGCCGGACGGGGCACTTGTAGAGGAAGGAGAGCAGCGTCTCGGTGTAGCCCACCAGGAAGTAGAACTTGTAGGGTGGCAGGCGCTGCAGGAAGACGGCGCAGACGACCAGCACGTTGGCGCGGCGCTTCAGCACAATCTCATTGGCCAGGCAGCCGTGGAAGGTGCCGTAGATGAACTTGCGGATGAAGACGTCCTCCACGGTGCGCTCGGCCGCCCCGCCCTCCCCGTCCAGGTTACCTGCAGGGCAGACAGGGCAGCGGGGGGGTGAGGGGACAGCGCCAGGTGCCCCATGCCCACAGGGCACCTTTAAGACGAGCAGCACCAGCCAGAGCAGGGGGCTGCATGGGTGTCCGGCCAGGCACTGCATCAGGATCTGGCCACGGAACACACATCTGCCGGGGGACAGGGACTCCTGCTCCCTCCCCTATGCCTGGAGAAGAGCTCGGGGAGGGAGAACGGCCCATGCCCAGGTTAAAGACCCCTCACCCCCTTTTGTTACGTCACAGGGGCCACACAAAAGGGGATTCTGTGGGGAGCGGGGCAGGAGCACTGGTTGTGGGGAGAGCTCCCAGCTATTTCAGCCCCGGCCTCTCCCAGCAGGGGGCGCTGTAGGGAGCAATGCAGGAACACTGGCTGGGGGGGGGGTGAGTGCCTCTTCCAGCAGGGGGCGTTCTGGGCGGTGGGGCAGGAATGCTGGCTGTGGGGGAGCTCCTGGCTTTTCCAGCCCTGGCCTTGTTGTAGTAGGATTTTATGTTTGCATTTTGTATAATTTAAAATAAAAAATAATAATGTAGCATGTATTACATTTATTGATGTATATTTTGCTGGCTATTCTTTTTGAAAGCAGAAAGGAATGGCCTAATGGGCCATTGGTAAAGATGCATCAGCCAGAATTTGTATCGGAACTGCTTTTAAGGCAGTAACAGACCTTTTAGCATTACCATTTTGTTGCAGGTTTAGTATTTTAAAATAAGTAAAAAAATGCAATGACTTGGGTTTTTTTGCATTGCAATTTGATGTTTTTGTTTAAATGCTTTGTGTAAATTAATTCTGTGTTGTGTGTAAATGAGGAACATGTGTGTTAAGAAATAAGTGTAAAGGCCATCACTGAACCAGATGTTTTAGGGAAAAACCGAGATGTCAGGGCACCAGGAAGCTGCAACACGCCTATGTCAGAGAAGGGCAGATTGACGACTTTAAAAATAAGACCGGCACCTATCAATGGGGACAAGATAGCTGTGATTAAAACCAGAATGAGGTAACCTTTTAAAAGACTTAATAAAAAATAAAAAAAAATGTAAGAAAACAAGCACTCGTCAAAAAAACAACTGATTACAGCATGATGGGAAAATCACTATGGAAACAGGGGGCCTGGCCATGAAACTTTGGGTTCATCCTGCCAAGACTCTGTGTGTGTGTGTGTGTGTGTGTTTAAATGCATATGCTAATTGTTGCATTTTTAATAAACAGGGTGTATTGCTCTTTCCCCTGAAAAAGATCCTGTGTGCTTCTTATAAGCATAACTGCCTCTCCCAGCAGGGGGCACTGTGGGGAGCAGGGCAGGAGCACTGGCTGGAGGGGAGCTCCTGGCTACTCCAGTCTCAGCCTCTCCCAGCAGAAGGCATGGTGGGGAGCAGGGCAGGCACTGAGAGACGGGGAAGCCCAGGTACCCCCAGGGCAGCAGCTGACGGGTCACTCACTGGTGTGCAGGGAGAGCCAGCCCTTGCGATGGGCGATGTAGTGGGGTGGGTGGACCTGTTCGTACGTCACCGGCTTGTCTCCTTTCCCAACTCGCACTCGGGCTGCCCGGTTCTGTAAGAGAACAGCCTTGGGAGGGGGGTGAAAAAAACAACAGTGGGGGCTACCCCTGCTGGGCAGGGCCAGGAGCAGGGGACACATCTTCCCCTGCTCCATAGGTGTTAACGGCACGGAGGGACCAGGGCAGCAGGTATTTCAAAGCGTTTGGCAGTACCCAGGGCCCAGAGCACTGACCCCCTGGTGCTATCAGGCTGATCCCACTTCCCACATGCCCCCTTCCTCGGGTCTGGCACCGTCATGCCTGGCACCGCCAAGCCCTGGCTACACGTGGCAGCAGAACGGCATGCAGCCCGTGTATGAGGCAGCCTGCAGGAAGCTTTAGCCTGAGTGTTCATTTCTCTGCTAAGGACACCCCCAGGTCCTGCCCAGTCTGACAACTCAGACTCAGTCACACTCTCAGCGGGCACCTCAGGGGCGCTGAAGGTGCAGACACAGTGAAGAACAGGCACTGCGAGGTGCAGGCTACAGAAAAAAGCCCAGGAGCCACTCTTCGACATCGACTCGCCTAGCCTCCAGGCACCTGCCATCCCTGGACCGGGCAGAATAACCTCATGTCCTGGGGGAAACTGAGGCATGGGCAAGAACAGACCAGCCCCAGGTCATCCAGTGAGTCAGTGACAAACCTGCATGTAGAACCCAGGAGTCCTGACTCCTTGCCCTAACCACACCTGCCATGCAGGGCTGTTCGGGGGACACGGAGCTGGGATGGGCTCCACAGGAGAGAGCAAAGGCTCCTAGCACAGGTTGCTGGGGTACACAGGGGTTTCCAAGGCCTCACCCAGAACTCTGTGCCTCTGCTCCCGCTGGGGAGAGGCTTTGCTGGGTGAGTGAGGCCTTGTCTCACAGGCCCCTCTCCAGCTTTGGTTTTGCAGGTTCAGAGGGAGGGACGGCTGTTACTTACCTTACAACTCCTGGGATTCATAGAATCATAGAATATCAGGGCTGGAAGGGACCTCAGGAGGTCATCTAGTCCAACCGCCTGCTCAAAGCAGGACCAATCCCCAACTAAATCATCCCAGACAGGGCTCTGTCAAGCCTGACCTTAAAAATATCTAAGGAAAGAGATTCCACCACCTCCCTAGGTACCACCACCTCTCTAGGTATTCTTTGAGGGGCTGTCCATGGGATCCCATCGCTGGCACCTGTGTCTCACAAGTGTATGAGCCGTGTATGCCACTGCTGGGATCCACACGGACAGACCCTCGCAGCAGCAGCCGAGGGGCTAACGGGCAGGATTCCCCACTGCAGCCCGCCACGCACTTACCTTGTGACACACAGCTGTGGTCTGAATAGCCCGGCTGTAGGGAAGGAGTGACGAGAAAGCGCCCCCGGGTCCATAGAGCGGCCTAGCAAAGCAAAGCACAGGGCATCAGGGAGCAGGGGCGGTGGCGAGCGCAACAGACCCCTGGTTGCAAGCTAGGGATTGAACGAGGGCGCTGCAGCACCAGAGACACAAAGCCCTGGCAACTGAGCTGCAGGAGTCACATTCGTGGGAGCCGGGAGCCAGCTGCTAGAACAGGGGTGGGCAAATTACGGCCCGGGGGCCGCATACAACCCTTCAGACATTTTAATCTGGCCCTCAAACTCCTGCTGGCGAGCAGGGTCCAGGGCTTGCCCTGCTTCAGCGCTCCAGCTGGGTAGTGGGGTTGGGGGCTTGTCTCGCTCTGCGCATGCTGTGGCTCCTCGCGGCTCCTGGAAGCAGCAGCATGCCCCCCCTTCGGCTCCTACATGTAGGGGCAGCCAGGGGAATCCGCACGCTGCCTCCGCCCCAAGCGCTGCCTTCGCAGCTCCCATTGGCCAGGAACCACGGCCAAAGGAAGCTGCAGGGGGAGTGCCTGCGGATGGGGCAGAGCACAGACCCGCCTGGCTGTGCCTCTGCATAGGAACTGGAAGGGGGACATGCCACTGCTTCCGGGAGCTGCTTGAGGTAAGCGCCACCCAGAGCCTGCACACCTGACCCCCTCCCATGCCCCAACCCGCTCCCCCAGCCCTGATCCCCCTCCCGCCCTCCAAACCCCTCAGTCCCAGCCCAGAGTACCCTCCTGCACCCCAAACCCCTCATCCTCAGCCCCACCCCAGACCCCGCATTCTTAGCCGGAGCTGCACTCCCTGGCACCCCAACCCCCTGCCCCAGCCCAGAGTCCCCCCCCCGCACCCTGAACTTCTCATTTCTAGCCCCACCCCAGAGCCCACACCCCCAGCCAGAGCACTCACCCCCTCCCACACTCCAACCCCCAATTTCGTGAGTATTCATGGCCCGCCATACAATTTCCATACCCAGATGTAGCCCTCGGGGCAAAAAGTTTGCCCACCCCTGTGCTAGAACCACTGGAGGAAGACGCACCCAGAGTCAGTCTATTACGGTAACGCCCCGCTGGCTGGCTCCAAAGCCGCGGCCACCGCTGGGTCCTGCACATTCCTCCTGCAAGCCGGGCTCCAGGGACGCCTGGCGGGCCATTTCGGTGCTGGGGCCCTGGGGTTTTGATGAAATGTTCCCAAGGTGAGTTGCCAGGGTCCGCGGGGCTGACAGGGGCCGGAGCTGGCTCCTGGGTGAGCGGGTACTTGGATTGCCAGCTCTCTGGGGAAAGGAGCATTAAGACCTGCGGGCAGGGGAAGGGAGCGACTCTGGGGGGCAGCTGCATCCCCCTCTCCTGGTCCTGGCACCCCCCGCCCCGTTGTTTCACACACTCCGTCCCCTCTGTGCTCGCACAGCCCTTAGCACAACGTACCGCGCCGAGCACATCCCCACCCGCTGGGCGCCGCCCGGCTGAATCCGCCCCTCGCGGAGCGTCTGCCTGGCCCGGCGACCCCCGGCCCCGCCCCCAGGGATGCTCCGGCCGCGGCGCCACCTCACCATCAGGCGCTTCCCGCCCAGGGGCGCCGCCATCTTGGAAGGTGCCGAGAGGGGGGAAGGGTGGCGCCGAACCGACCACACGGCACCGGGAAGGGGGCGGGGCCGAGGGCGGGGCCGAGCAGGGAGCGGGTAACCCCGCCCCCAAGGCCTCCTGCCGCCCCGGGGGGCGGGGCTCAGGCCGGGGGGCGGGGCCGGGTGATCGCCCTGGGCGGGGCTCCTCAGCCGCAGGCCCGGGGGCGCTGGAGCACCCCGGGGCTCCCCTGCGAGCTGATCACCCCCGGGGGCTGCCAAGTGTTCACACGTGCAGATGGGTATTGTGTGTCACAGAGGGGCCCCCTGCGCCGCCCGGGCCCCGGCCCAGATCGGGGGCCCCTGCGCCGGCGCTGCCCAGACCCTGGCCGAGATCGGGGGCCCCCGGCGCCCCTCAGACCCCGGCCCAGATCGGGGGCCCGTCGTCCCCGGGCGCCGCCCAGACCCCGTCTGAGATCGGGGGCCCCCTGTGCCCGGCGCTGCCCGGACCCCGTCTGAGATCGGGGGCCCCCTGCGCCGGCGCTGCCCAGACCCTGGCCGAGATCGGGGGCCCCCTGAGTCCGGCGCCGCCCAGACCCCAGCTGAGATCAGGGGCCCCCTGCGCCGCCTGGACCCCATCCGAGATCGGGGGCCCCTGCGCCCGGCGCCCCTCAGACCCCGCCCATCGGGCCCAGATCCGGCGCCGCCGGGCCCCATCCGAGATCGGGGCCCGGCGCCGCCCTGGACCCCATCCGAGATCGGGGGCCCGGCGCCCAGACCCGTCCGAGATCGGGGGCCCCCTGCGCCCGGCGCTGCCCAGACCCTGGCCGAGATCGGGGGCCCCCTGCGCCCGGCGCCCCTCAGACCCCGGCCCAGATCGGGGGCCCGTCGTCCCCGGGCGCCACCCAGACCCCGTCCGAGATCGGGGGCCCCTTGCGCACGGTGCTGCCCGGACCCCGTCTGAGATCGGGGGCCCCCTGAGTCCGGCGCCGCCCAGACCCCGTCCGAGATCGGGGGCCCCTGAGCCCGGCGCCGCCCGGACCCCGTCCGAGATCGGGGGCCCCTGTGCCTGGCGCCGCCCGGACCCCGTCCGAGATCGGGGGCCCCTGCGCCCGGCGCCCCTCAGACCCCGGCCCAGATCGGGGGCCCGTCGTCCCCGGGCGCCGCCCAGACCCCGTCCGAGATCGGGGACCCCTTGCGCCCGGCGCTGCCCGGACCCCGTCTGAGATCGGGGGCCCCCTGAGTCCGGCGCCGCCCAGACCCCGGCTGAGATCGGGGGCCCCTGTGCCTGGCGCCGCCTAGACCCCAGCTGAGATCGGGGGCCCCCTGAGCCCGGCGCCGCCTGGACCCCGTCCGAGATCGGGGGCCCCCTGAGTCCGGCGCCGCCCAAACCCCAGCTGAGATCGGGGGCCCCCTGAGTCCGGTGCCACCCAGACCCCGGCCGAGATCGGGGGCCCCTGTGCCCGGCGCCGCCCGGACACCGTCCGAGATCGGGGGCCCCCTGTGCCCGGCGCTGCCCAGACCCCGTCCGAGATTGGGGGCCCCCTGTGCCCGGCGCCGCCCAGACCCCGGCCCAGATCGGGGGCCCGTCGTCCCCGGGCGCTGCCCAGACCCCGTCCGAGATCGGGGGCCCCTTGCGCCCGGCGCTGCCCGGACCCCGTCCGAGATCGGGGGCCCCTGTGCCTGGCGCTGCCCAGACCCCAGCTGAGATCGGGGGCCCCCTGAGTCCGGCGCCGCCCAGACCCCGGCTGAGATCGGGGGCCCCCTGTGCCCGGCGCCGCCCGGACCCCGTCCGAGATCGGGGGCCCCCTGTGCCCGGTGCCGCCCGGACCCCGTCCGAGATCGGGGGCCCCCTGTGCCCGGCGCCGCCCGGACCCCGTCCGAGATCGGGGGCCCCCTGTGCCCGGCGCCGCCCGGACCCCCGTCCGAGATCGGGGGCCCCCTGTGCCCGGCGCCGCCCGGACCCCGTCCGAGATTGGGGGCCCCCTGTGCCCGGCGCCGCCCGGACCCCGGCCGAGATTGGGGGCCTCCTGTGCCCAGCGCCGCCCAGACCCCGGCCGAGATCGGGGGCCCGTCGTCCCGGGCGCCGCCCAGTCCCCTGTCCGAGATCGGGGGCCCGTCGTCCCGGGCGCTGCCCAGACCCTTGTCTGAGATCGGGGGCCCGACGTCCCAGGTGCCACCCAGACTCCCGGCCGAGATCGGGGGCCCGACTTCCCGGGCGCCGCCCAGACCCCCGACCGAGAGCTGAACCAGTCAAGGCAACAGAGACTGGCCCCCTAGATCTCGGGCAGATTAGCCCCGGGAGAGGAAATTTTGGACAGGACCAGGCTGAAGACCCAAGGTATGACAACATTGGGAAGGAGTTGACCAAAATAGATGGGGTCCCCCGTGGAAGGGAAAACCCAGGGACCAGGACCCTACTTCATAATGAAGAAGAATCTCTTGTACCAGCTTGCACCAGTACAGTGGCAGAAGGTACAGCAGATCCTAGTACCTCAAAAACACCAGAATGCTGTATTAAGTCTGGCCCATAGTTGTCTTTTTGGGGGGCATTTGGGGGTAGAGAAGACCCTGGCACGGGTCCTGCGACGATTCTTCTGGCCCGGAGTACATGAAGAAGTCCGGAGGTACTGTGCGTCCTGCCCGGAGTGTCAGCTGCACAGTCTCTGTCCCCACTTGAGGGCACCTTTAGTACCCCTTCCCATCATAGAGGTCCCCTTCGAGCAAACAGCCACGGATCTAGTGGGGCCCCTGGAGAAGACAGCCCAGAGCCACCAATATATACTTGTCATTCTGGATTATGCTACTCGCTACCCAGAAGCCGTCCCCCTCCGGAACACGGCCTCTAAAATGATAGCTAAAAGGTTGGTGGGGATCTTTGCCCAAGTGGGGCTACCAAAGGAGATATTAACAGACCAAGGTACCCCATTTATGTCTAAGTTAATGAAGGACCTCTGTACAATGCTCCATATACATACCCTGAGAACTTCAGTCTATCATCCGCAGACGGATGGCCTGGTAGAAAGGTTTAACCAAACCCTCAAGGCAATGATAGGGAAAGTGGTAAGTCGAGACGGGAAGGATTGCGACACCCTACTACCTTACCTTATGTTTGCAATCTGGGAGGTACGTCAGGCCTCAACTGGGTTTTCCCCCTTTGAATTATTATACAGACACCACCCCCATGGCATACTAGATATTGCAATGAGGGGAGAAATATAACTGACCCTGTGTTGCAGATGCGAGAACGGATAGCCTGGGTCACCCGTATTGTACAGGAACATTTGGAAAAGGTGCAGGAGGCCCAGCGAACCCATTACAATCGCCAGGCAAAAGTCTGACCGTTCCAACCAGGGGATCGGGTGATGGTGTTGGTACCCACGGCAGAAAGCAAGCTTTTGGCCCAATGGCAAGGGCCCTATGAGGTGGTTGAACCCGTGGGGGAAGTAACCTACAAGGTGCGGCAGCTAGGACACCGGAAACAAGAACAAATTTATCACATTAACCTCTTAAAGCCTTGGCACCAACAAGAGGCATGTGTAGTGGCCCAAGAGACCCCAATCCAGGGAAATAATATGCAGGAGCAGATCAGGATATCCACTGATCTGACACCAAACCAGAAGAAGGAGGTAACTGATATGCTGATATGATCAACTGATACCAGGACGTGTTTTCAACCAAATCAGGCCGGACCACCGAAGCATATCACCACATTATCACAGATCCTGGGGCAAAGGTAACTTTAAGGCCCTATCGGGTCCCAGCAGCAAAAAGGGAGGAGATCAAGGCAGAGGTAAAAAGGATGTTGGAGCTGGGAGTCATCGAAGAGTCCCACAGTCAGTGGTCAAGCCCGATTGTGTTGGTGCCCAAACCTGATGGCACCACTAGGTTTTGTAATGACTTTTGCCGGCTGAATGAGAGATCCAAATTCGATGCATACCCCATACCCCATACCAATGAGTTAGTTGACCGCCTGGGCAATGCCTGATTTTTGACCACCCTTGATTTAACAAAGGGATACTGGTAGATTCCCCTTGCCAAAGATTCGAAAGAAAAGACAGCATTCTCTACCCCAGAGGGTCTGTTTCAATATACTGTTCTTCCTTTTGGACTGCATGGGGCACCTGCCACCTTCCAGCGTCTTATGGACAAGGTCCTACGGCCCCATACCAGTTATGCAGCGGCATACCTGGATGATGTGATTATTCACACCCCCGACTGGGAAACCCACTTAGGAAAGGTGGAAGTGGTTCTGGACATGCTAAGACAGGCTGGCCTCACAGCCAACCCAGCCAAGTGTGCAAAGGGATAGCTGAGGCTAAATACCTTGGCTACATTGTAGGAAGGGGCATGGTCAAGCCCCAACTAAACAAACTAGAGGCTATCCAAAATTGGCCCCGGCTGAATCAGAAAAAGCAAGTCCGGGCATTCCTGGGTGTGGTGGGGTCCTACCGATGATTTATTCCCCATTTTGCTACCAGAGTGAGTCCCCTGACAGACCTGATAAAAGCCTGGGTTCCAGACATGGTGAAGTGGACAGATGCCGCAGAGAAAGCATTCATGGATCTACAGACAGCCCTCTGCAGTAACCCCATACTTATAGCCCCAGACTTCAACAAAGAATTCATTTTACAAACAGATGCATCTGAATCAGGATTGGGAGCTGACCTATCGCAGATGGTCAGAGATGAAGAACACCCAATCCTCTACCTCAGCAGGAAACTCCTCCCGAGAGAGCAGAAGTATGCTGTTGTTGAAAGAGAGTGCCTAGCTGTGAAATGGGCCATGGAAACACTATGTTATGACCTTCTGAGATGACAGTTTACCCTTGTGACCGACCATGCACCCCTCCAGTGGATGCAGCGAAATAAAGAGAAGAACGCAAGGGTGACCAGATGATTCCTGTCCCTACAACCTTTCCAATTCACCATACAACACCGAGCTGGAAGCCACCATGGCAATGCAGATGGCTTGTCACGAATACACTGCCTGACGTCCCAAGTTGCTCAACCCCATACTGTTGAGCGGGGGGGGGAGGGGGGGCGATATGTGACAGGGTCGGGCCAGATGGCTATAGGAGAGTAATTTTTTTGAAGCAAAAGATATTTTTATTTGCATAACACACTTACAAAGTAAAAACAGCAGCATATGCAATGTGTAACACAGCAACCAATCACAATTGTTTGGGGAGGGAAGTGTCCAAGCCTGCCCGGGCCCAGGGCGGGGGGCTTCCTCAACTCTTGTGGTCTTCCACCCCCTCGAGTTACCTGGCACCACGCCCGAGTGTCACCAACAATTCCCTCCTCTGAAAGCACCCAACAAGAGGGGCAGGCTGTGGGGTGGACAATCCGGGCGGCGGGGGGGGGGGGGGTCACGTGCACCCACGTGTGAAAGGACCCCTCTAGGGTGGTGGTGTCCGCAGCAACAATGGCTGGGGCTGGGGTCCCTTACTCTCTTCCCCAATCAAAGGGTCAGACAAAGGGACCCGGACGGGGACACCGAGCAGAGAACCTCAGACAGCGCCCACTGCTCCTCAAAAGCATCAAGGGAGTCGGTGGATGCCGCCCAGAGGAACTCCGCCCGGATATGTGAACGGACCGAGGATCGGAAAACGGCCCCACAGTCACAGGAAACTCCATCGGCCAACCTCCTCTCTCTGGTTTTATAGATGGCTGTTTTAGCCAGGGCCAGGAGGAGGTTAACTAGGAGATCCTGTGACTTTGTGAGGCCATGGATGGGGAGTGCATAAATAAAAAGGTGAGGAGAAAAATGCAACCAAAAACGTAATAGGAGATTTGTGAGGAGCTGGAACAGGGGCTGCAGCCTGGCGCGCTCCAGATATACATGTGCCAGGGTTTCCCTCACACCACAAAAGGGACAAGTATCTGGGATGGGGTGAACCGTGCCAGATACGTGCCCGTGCTCACAGCTCCATGAAGGAGCCGCCAACTGATATCCCCGATGGGCCTCGGAACCAAGGTGGAATAGAGGCTGGCCCACCGGGGCTGCTCACCCTCCAAAGGTGGCAGAAGGTCTCGCCACTTTGTGTCGGGGCGGGCCACTAGGGTCAGGACATGAAGGGTGTGGAGTGCGAGCGTGTATAGATGTTTCCTTGGCGCGGTTTGGAAACGTACCGGCTGCAGTTCATGCAGCCGACTCGCAGTGAAGGGGTGGGGGGGGCGCGATTGGATCTGCGGGGCAGGGGTCCAATTAAAAAGTGCAGCCTGCTGGCCTGGGGTAAAGGGTGGGCAGGGCATGCCCTCGAGCAGGACCCGGTCAAGGTAAGCTTGAACAGTGGGTGGCAAAGTGGCCTTCACCTCCTGAAGTACGCGCCGGGGGGTACGAGGTCTGGAGAGCCCCATGCACTGGGCGAGCGTCAGGGGATCCAGCCAGTCTCCCCGGTCGTAGTCCAGGAGGTCTCCGACTCTCGTGACTTCTGCCAGGATCAAGCTCTGGCGCACCAAGCGGGACTCTACCACCTGCACACGGAGCTGGGGGTTGTGTAGCAGGGGCTCCTCGGTGGCCGCCACGGACTTGGTCATTAAAAACAGTTTCCAAGTCCGGAGGAGGTCCTGGTAGAAGACCAGCAGCCTGGAGAGGTCACGTGGAAGACCTCCCGGGCAGAGATAAAAGAGCTGCCGGTCGTATCGGAGCCCTCGGATGCGGCGCAGAATGGCGTGCGCCAGTGTGCTCCACGCCGAACTGCCTGCACCATAGAGGAGCCTCTGTAGGGCCTGGGGGCGGAAGACACGGACCTGACTGTGTAGACACTTCAGGCCCTGTCCTCCTTCCTTCAGGGGTAGATGAAGGACCCCTACAGGGGCCCAGTGCGTTCCTGACCAAAAGAACCCCAGAATCCCAGATTAGGGGACTGGAACACATGAGTTATGAGGAGAGGCTGAGGGCACTGGGGATGTTTAGTCTTCAGAAGAGAAGAATGAGGGGGGATTTGATAGCTGCTTTCAACTACCTGAAAGGGGGTTCCAAAGAGGATGGATCTAGACTATTCTCAGTGGTAGCAGATGACAGAACGAGGAGTAATGGTCTCAAGTTGCAGTGAGGGAGGTTTAGGTTGGATATTAGGAAAAACTTTTTCACTAGGAGGGTGGTGAAACACTGGAATGGGTTACCTAGGGAGGTGGTGGAATCTCCTTCCCTAGAAGTTTTTAAGGTCAGGCTTGACAAAGCCCTGGCTGGGATGATTTAGTTGGGGATCGGTCCTGCTTTGAGCAGGGAGTTGGACTGGAT